GTGGCATTCTTCCTGTTTTCCTTATTTCCCGTGCAGAATTCTTGTCGATCGACTCGGTCGCGCCGTGGACTGGGGCAAAGGCCATCCAGGTGTGATCGAAGCCACTCAGCACGAAGATCGCATTTCCACAGTGACATGACGAGGACCACCGTTTGCTCCTGCTCTTCCGTTATCATGCACTAGTCCATGACAAACCAGCCTCGACCATTGGACAATGCGCGGACTGTTTTTGGGGCCGGCGGGGACGGAGGATGAAGTGGGACTGATAAGCAGCTGAGCACTTCTACGTAGTAGACATTGAATGGACACAGTCAATCCCCAGATTGGTCCATGCCAGACTAGTCGCAGACCAAGTGTATCATATCGACGTAAATTAAATTAGTACCTGCCTTCTTCTGCTTAGTTGGATGGTGTGGAAGAGCCCTATCCACGCCGTCGTCTGCCACTAACGGCACGGCGGGATGCACCGTCCCCAGTTAGCCTTCCGGGCTGCATAGAAACATGGAACATGGCATTTCGCCATCAAGAGGGGGATAGAACCTCATTCTCGAACATCTCCCCCCCCCCCTTCTGACTGTTAAAGGATTGTCCCCCTTGCTGATGCCATGTAACCCCGATTTAGTGCGTGTGTGTGTGGCAGGGGTAGTTGATCAGGAAGCAACTTGAATCAAGTGAGAAGAGAGAGAAAGAGGAAGGAGGCGAAAAGGAAGGAGACAACCAACCGGTTTAGCCTGTAGTCACTTGACCGCTGGTCATCCTTCCTTTCATTTAGCGCCAACGACCTGACCGACTGCCCGATCTCCTTCGTTTCACATATTTCCTACTGTACGTACTTGTCTATTCCCTTTGCTTTTCTCGCCCCTCATCCACCCCCTCCCTTTCGAGGTGCCTGTGCACTCTCCATAGTTCGGACGCGTTTTCATACTTTCTCTTTAAGCGAGCCTTCTTTTGCCGAGAAGAAAAGCTAGGCGCAGCCACTGAAAAGCCACCAGAGGGCTGGATGGAGTGCTGATTCCTTGGCATGTAGCACGAAGATTGGCGTATCAGCCGATAACGCGAGGGGCAAAAAGTAATTTCGAAGGCAACAAGATCGGATATAAGACCAGAGCCAGCTAATTTATGAATCATGGGCTCGCCACGAACCACTGACATGAGTTAATATCGACCGTTGCGCTACATCTCCAATCTAGCCCTTTTCCTAGATAGACTAGAAGCCCCGATCTGTGGTGGGTACCGCGTCTAACAGATACGAGGTAGATAATGTAATTTCATACAAAATAGGGATCCATATTGCGCTTACAGTTTAGCCGGACAAAACGCCTATAGCAGCCATGATTACAGGGGCATGCACACCCATATACGACGACCAGGCACTCAGACGTCCGGTAGGTCCTCTGCATATGCCAGGTTTGCTTTAGCTCACTGGACTACCCGGGGCTCCGTTGGGTCGACCGGCTGGCTTGAACCTTATGCTTCTCCATCCCATGATCTGGCGTTTCCTGTAGTAGCAAGCCCCCCCTTTTCTTTTATCTCGAGACTATTGGTGAGTTATGTTGGCTATAGGAATCACGCGATAGACTGCCCGTCACTTCACCCCTGTAAACCGATCGAATGATGATCTGGCGTCGAGGGTTCAATTGGGGCGTAGCGGTGTTTGCCATCATGGGCGTCCATCCTGATTTTTCTTTTTATTTTCTTTTTCTTTGCTTTCGCAGCTCTCACGGGAATCGGCGACTTACAGCGGTCCATACGGTTCGGTGGGCGCGAAGAGAAACTCATCCGTCAACGCCCATTCAAAATCCGCTTGGAATTGCTCGTCAAAATACGAGAAATCTGGCCGATCCGTAGAGCCTCCAGGCGCGGTCCCTGAAGTCCCTGCATTATCGCGGCTTGCATCGGTGCCTATCGTACATGCGAGATGCGTCAGTAACCGCCCGTATCTGCTATCAGAATGCATGGCCCTACCTTCAGAGGCAATGTTTTGGAAACTGCCCGTGCTATAGAACTGGGGGTCGAACTCTTCTCGCCACCACCACACCGTATCGATAACAGGACTGACAACCAACCGGCTCCGAATCCGAAGAGCAAGGTATTCACTCCCATCTGCCTTCCGGAACGCTTTGGTGCTATTCCATAATTGGCTTAATACCATGACTGTCTTGGCCGCGATATCAAAGTTGTCAACTGACATTTGCTTGGCCAAGTTGATTGCAGTGAAATAAGATGACTTAGCCTTGTCAACATCCATGGTAGCCCAATGTGGGCCTTTCAGTACCCGTAAAAGGGCCGAGGACGCTAGAAGCAGGGCATAATTCATCTGGATGGGAGAAGTAGCAAAGCCGGCCATGCTTTGTCCCAGATTATGTATGCTACTAATGGTGTCACAAGCGGCTGTCGTCAGAGCTGCAAGACAACCTGATGAGAACGAATTGGGATTTCGAAAGAGATGGAATATTTGGATACTCAAACGACACATGCTCGTAGCAAACCTATCGTACGCTATTATGCATTAGCTTCTGTGACAGCTGACACATAGATGAACAGATTTACCTGAGAACGCCTGCGCCTCCAGATCAAGCGCTTGGTCATCATACGCCCGTAAGAGTATATCGAGCGATCTCTCTTGTTCGGGAGATATGTCCCGAACCCCGAGCTCCAGTACTGCTGTACTACAGCGAGTTTTCAGATCCTCACACTTCAGTTCAAGTACCAACGACGGAGAAATCCTCTGAAATAACGAATGTTTAATTTCGCCATCGGGTTCTAGATTCTTCAGAGAGCGAGGGGGTTGTCCTTTTATTACACACGCACTGTACCCTTTTAGCACGAAGGATTGAATATCCTGCACCAAGAACGTACCGCTGATAAACGATAACGCAATGAGCCCAAAGCTCTGATCGTCTGATCATTTCTACTTCTGATGGGGCAGGAAGTCTCTTTCTCTTAGAAAACTCATGACTGGACATCGGGATATGTAAACCGTTCTGCATGGCAATGTGTAGAAGCATGCCGCTTAATGGGAACGTCACGTCCGCCATATTGGCATCTTTCGGGAATGGCCACGTCAGGACTAGCAGCAGCCCTTGAATGCTGTGCCACGCTGAACTTCCCGATATAATCGAGAGGAAGGCCATTTCGTTCACAGTGCGTGCAAGAGCGATTAGCAAGGTTGGGTTTTTGGAATAGGTCCGGGATGCAATCCCGACTATAGACCAAAACAGAAATGGTGACTGTGTATAATACACGTTTGGTGTGGTTTCTGGGTCAAGGATTGGAAGGAAGGAAGCATATTGATGGAAGAATCTGTTCCGCATCAGAAACGCCAAGAACGACACTTTCGGGCAGAGGTATACTCACATCTGGAAGAGCTCGTCTATCTCACTTCCGGTAAGGTAAACGTTGTTCAGCGAACGGGGCTCTGTTGCATCAGGGGCGCGTACACCAGAAACCATCTCTGGTCCTGGTAACGACGGTCCTAGTCCAGGGGAAGGTAATATGTGTTGCGAACCTTCAACTGGGGGTGTATGCGGCTGAGCATGGAAGATCAAGTCGCCATCGGCGGTTGCTGGGTTAACTCCCATCTCAGCCGCGGCCGTTAGCATCGCGATGGGCGAGGGTCGAGAGGGGTCAGATTGTGTATATCTTAGTCTTCGTCGCAGCTCGTCTGTCTCTTGCTCGAGCTCGGAAAGTCGCCTGTTGTGAGATGGTCACACTTGATCTCCTTTGGCTCCTGGGAAGCATATAGTTAACCTACTTTCGTTTATGTTCCCGACGAAAAGGATCTGATATAACACATTGGATGTTCAACTTTAAACAACGCGAACACGCCTGACTGGGATTCAAGTAGGCGTCACATTTTGCCTGCGATTCAGTTAGAGACAGTCATTCGGAGATACAGAATTCCAATTATTTCATTATAAGAAAGACAATCATGCGTTCACATTTCATACCTTCTGCTGCCTACACTCAGTGCAGGCCTTTTTACCTCGTTTCACCGATGGTGAAGGTCTATTATCCAACCATGTTAGTTCTGGTTGTATAAGAGGGTTAAGATGACTTACGTTCGCTGGCTAGATGCCATTGCAAATGATACGTCTTGCAGGCGGGCTCGAGCTCTATGATCCGGTGGCTCATGCTGCTGTTGTTGCGATGATGAATGTTGGAGACGCCGGCGGCCAAGATTTGGCTCTGGAGCAGCACGCGGAGATAGCGCCATTCTAATCTCCGATAGAGTGAGAAATGCGAAGAAGTCGGAAGTCTTGGAATGTAACAAGTTACCTGGCAAGGTTAGTGCTAAAGCCAAGATATAACGGAGATTTATGATTCATATAACATATTACTTAGTAACTTATTAGCCCTTATAGTAATCAAAAGTGCTAGGAGCTAGCTGCCAACAAACTCGTGACGGTTAAGTAGTAATGCTGTGGACTCAATAGCGTCATTACCCGGCAAAAATATATAGAGGCGTATCCACACGCGATGGAAAGATGCTTTAGTGATTTGAACTGAGAAAGACGAGCCTATCCATAACCAGTCAAAAATCCAACCAAACCGATTCTTGCTGCCTAGAGATCCCCAAATGCTTCCATTGGGAACTCATGGCCATCAAGCCTTGTTGTGCCGGAACCGGCTTTATGAATCACGGGAACCGGGAAGAAGGCGTACTGTCATTGGCCCATATCCCGGTACCGGCTTGTGCTTATCGCTCTCGCTGTGACTCTTGGCCTGCTAGTCCAAATCATTCACCTGCAACCCAAGGTTGGGATTCATTGATATAGTATAGTAGAAGATATAAGACATACTTCATTCTACACTGCAACGGTCATCGGCGGAATTCCAGCATCGATATATTCATGAAGCGACGGAATTGAGTTATATCTTGGAACGATGATTGACAACACCAACTGCATACATAGTATCCTTATGCTACCAAGAAAAATTACTACTTTACCAGACATAGATAGTAGGAAAAACGATGACTAACCCGCTAGAAGGGTGCAATGGCATTGGAACTTCTCGCGATGCTCACACGTATGCGCACGCAGATGGTATGTCTGCTAGGACATTCTCCCTCAACAAGGGAAGGATACCCCGATTACCATAGCTCCTTAGTACTTGCCCCTTCATTTGGCTACAGAGCTCATGGCGTGAGACTAGTCCCAGTGGCTTGGATCAAATGTCAGCTTGAGATGAGGTCATCAGAAAGCCACATGCCTGAACCACCATCAACAGTAACACAATCTGCCTCCCTTTTCCTTCCAACCCCTATGGTTGCTGATGCGGCCAAGCGCATATGTAGCGTACCACCCCTTTGGTACAGTACTGTAACCCTTCAAGTGACACGATTGTAGATCGGGTCGGGACGCATGGGTAGTGGCTTTTCCACTGAAGACCTGCAAGTTGCCGGCCAGGTCTCTAGACCTAAGATTCTATATCAGACCACATTCTTGGCGAAATACGATGTTACTGTGCCACAGACGCACCAGAAGGTTGCTGCTACATCGAGTGATGTGACGTGACACTGGCGAAGGTGCTTGCGTGTCTTTTAGGATTGTTGCAGTAGAAGCACTCGCGTGCTCGTGGAGCAGAGCGTTCTTTGTAGACGAATATAGACGTTCCTGAAGGCGTCCCGATATTACAACAGCGCCCCACCGTTGGATTCGCAATGGAGGTTGCTTTGAGCTGTCATTCCACCCATTAGTCTGAGTAAATCGCCATATTTTCCAAGGTGCAATTACTGGACAATAAGAGAATGGATGTGGATCAGTGGCCGGGGGGGGGGGGGGGGGGGGGTGGTTGTAAACATAGCAAAGTCTCTAAGTAGAGTTCTGTGAAGGCGCAGTGACGACAAAGGTCCACACAGACTATTTGGTAGTAGCGACAAAATTGGTAGTATTTGGGCCCAGCTAGATTCAAACAATTACGGAGTCTTCCGGTGGCTGTCCTTCGGTTGTTAGTAGAGACATATCCTGAAAGCCAAACCACAGCACTTGAGCCAATATCTGCTTCTAGAAACTGATAGCAGCTTTGTCATTCTCACTAGCCATTGTACCCATACCTCTTCTTACTATCCGTAAATAAATCTTTCCTGAACCTGATGTGCTCTGGGGTGGCAAAAGGGGATGAATTTCAATGAGAAATTGGAGGCTTTATCGCCAAAGCCACAGAGCCACATTACACAGGAGGATGCTCGAGATCTTCACGCGGCGGAGCTAAGAGCTTCATGGCTGCTCCTTCTAAGTAAGTGAACATATCTGATGAGTATGTCTAATGTAGGGTCGCGCCTTCAACAAGGCACCTGGTCCTGGGTCCGTCTCCGCGCAGGTCCGATCGATAGCAGACCGTAACGAGGCCCTTGGGGTCCCTGCTATACCAGGAGAGGCTTCTGTGTACATTACAAAGGATGATGCGAGGGAGGCTCAGCATGCTGAATCGACAATACATGGCGGAAAATTCCCTCGCGGTGGGATTGTGGCAGAGATGCAGGTAAGTGTAAAAAAAATCAATATGTTGAGGGGCCCTTACCTGTCTCTGATCTTGAACATAGCTGATACTGGTCTAGAGTGCTGCTGACAAAATCGAACATGCTTATCGGGGCTAACCCTACTAAGACTCAAGTTTGACAGAATTAATCACAAACAAATAGTCCATAGCAAGCAGATACACCGGAGTCCATTAGCAGGAATGATGACAGTTTCAGATCGAATTCGGTATTCTGTTTGTCTTATTTGTAACAAATATAACCACTAGCAATTTGTTACTCTGTGCAAGATAAGCCACATATTCGAACATCTGGGCATCAGATAATGAATAAGTCCGAGACATGTCTTAAGAGAGAGAACGGATGGCTAATTTTAGCTTCTGTCATTTCTACATAACATAATCACAATTGTTGTGCAGACCTATCAAGTCACAACGAATGTTTTGCAAAGCACTACGAAGTCCACGTTATGAGCTGAGCCTCGCATTGAGATGCATCTCTGTCTGTGAGTGGCTTCCGACAACCGAAAACATGGACTGGTTGAAGACCAGTCGGTAGCTTGCCATACGATCATATTTGTTCCATGTGTGATCATTGACGGCCCTTATCACATCTCTTTCCCTGGTCCATAACTCGCATGCCTTTCGCTCAATAGACACCCTGTCTACTGCGAATATAGAATACATAGGCAATGATTGGGTGCATGGCTTCGCATATGCAGAGTGATCGAACGCATTTGGGTCCTTCCCAGAAAGGTTATATTTCCGTAGATGCCAATCGGCTATTTTGTTTTAGAAACCGAACCAGAGCCCGAGTTGATGGTGAACTGGAAGCTGTCACATCCAAATCTCTACGCCAAAACCAAAACATGATGCAGTGGCATACTCTCTGCAGCTCTGTTTGGGGGCCATCCTTTGGGATTATCTGACATCTTGCTGCACAGTTAGTGTCATGCCCCAGGAGTAAGCAGCGTACGACAAAGTGCAGCCTAGGCCATGAAGACCGACCAAACGCAGGGGTGATGTTGAACGCGAGTACATCTGTTTGCTCTCGGCAACGATGTACAAGTTTCTTCATGTCTACCTACACACCGTGCTGAACATGACAGTGCTTCAGAGGACAAGGTTTCAACTCCAGCAGATGATAGGTCGAATCATGGATCAAACATGATATCTGCCCAAGTAGGTATCAAGCCTTCCGGGACATTGTGCTGCATACGTGACTGGAGATGTTGAGCAGGGATACCCCGCGCAGATCTGACATTCGCCCAAATTTTGGCATTCGGTGAGCAGATAATTGCTTTTGCCGACACCACACACACACACACTATGACTCGGAGCTCACGCATGGTGTGGAGTAATGCACAGGAAGCGTCTTTTGCTCGGTTGACCGGATACTTCACGGGCTTTGAGGTGACCTCAACAAATCCCCCGCCGACCCGCGTGTCGCGAAGCTGTCGGCCAGCGATCGGCGGCCAGTGCTCCCCCATTCGGGATCAAGAATCTCAAATCTCCACGATCATGGACTACTAACTCAGAGCACATTGCCGGTCATCTCCGGGGTAGAGCGTGACAAATCTTTGTCCGGAAAGAGTAGGACGGAAAGAGGGACCAGCACTGCACCTTATCCGGTTCAGCATGGTTTGTGGACTGAAATTGACACGTCTATTGGAACAACCGGCCACACCATTTCGGGATGGCAGCATGTCAAGTGTGCGATCAGCACCCTGATTGATATGGGGCAGCTGGAGGATGATTGGTGAGAGTGCAGGGCAGTGCAGTGAGGGAGTGATTGGATTCCGGCGTAACTCCGTAACTACTACCGCGGCTGGTTGCGAAACCTGCTCTGAGAGAGAGGGAGAGAGATCCACTCGCTGGAAATGGAGTCCGAGAAAGTGAGCAAGGGGGGCTTAGAGCAGAAGTTTCTTTTTGAGGCGCAACAAAGAAAGGAAAGCAACCGTGCATCGCATCGAGGGACGAGTAGTGGAGAAATTGGAGAAACGAAGCAGAGGTCGTCCCGTGACGCAAAGGCGCGCCCCTCTTCAGGGCATGACAAATTGTTGTTTTCTCAGACGGTCGCGGCCAACGCCAATTCCAGCCCATCCAGCCATGTCGTCAACGAGAACGGCTTTCTTCCACCGGATCCTTGGGTGATAATCTTCTCAACCTCGCGGATGGGCAAGATGTCAGCTATAAATACGTCGCCTCGTCTTCCACTTTTCTCGAGGGTCCTCATCTCGTGAGCACCTTGGTCGCCTTCAGTCTCTCCTTTCTCTCCAATCAGCATTCTCCAACACCCTCCCCAATTCTCCATCCAATTATTGCCAGAATGCCTTTGTCCGGCCACTGCCTGTGCAAGGCTGTCACCTACACCGTGGACATCGACGCACCCCTCATCGTGGGGTACGATCATTGTGACGACTGCCAGCGTCAAAGCGGGTCAACCTACTGTAGGTGTTCTCCTTGGCTCCCCCACCTCCAGCCAAGTTCGAACTAAGCAAGGCCGTTCCATGGTTACTGACCTTCCCAACAGCTCTAGTTGCCGTTGTCCCCAAGGACAAATTGACCGTCAATGGACCCATCAAGAAGTGGTCTGGAACGGGATCCTCCGGCCATGCGGTGCACCGTCTCTTCTGTTCGGATTGTGGCTCACCCATCGCGCATGATCCCGACGCGGCCCCAGAAATCATCGCCCTGAAAGCTGGTACCTTTGACACAGAAATCAAGAAAAATCTCAAGCCCGTATGTTCTGCGATCCCGGGGAATAGCCCCCCTTACTGATTTAGATTTCTCTTTCAGGACACCGAGATTTGGACCGTTAGCAAGCTTCCTTTCTGCCAGGAGCACTTGGAGAAGCCTTTCAAGAATATGCCCGAGTAAGCAAGCACCGAATGGAGGGTTCACAAAACATGCTATGATATGACGAATATTATGCAATGTAGTTATTATTGAAACAATTCTATATTCATCGAATTCACTTTCATTTCTTGGAATATCACACCCTTTAACCAACCAGTCCCGCTCGTTAAGAGGCCTGTAAAGAGTGAGACCTGGCCACCAGCGTTGAGAATCGGTGTTTAAGTGCTTTTAAAGAATGGCGTGCCACGACGGATCAAGGCATAGTACCACCATGGCTAACTGCCAGATACGCGAAAAATTTACTCCGCAAGAAGCCGAGTAAGCTGCAACGGACGACTGGAACATTGATGACGGTCAATTCTTGGGAAGCAACACTGTCGAAAACTTGGAAACCCGAGACAATCTGTTATTGCGGGCATTTGCTCACCACCGGGAAATTATGCCACGGTCCCAGGCGATCTTAAAATAATGGTTTCGCCAATATGGCGGGGCATCTATGCCACAGAACTCGACTAGCGAACCCGCTACGGAGCATCGTCAATTCAATGTCCTCCGGAATACTCTATGTCAAAGACTCGCGCACCGATGTGCAATATGAGATCCCAATCCGGAGAAATGCCGTCTCGGCCGTGGACTTCAAAAAAATTAAAGGCCCAGAAACGGGTGCCGACCGTGCAGATCAGGTCGCTGGTGGCCTCAGGGTACATGACCCTGGGTTGAGAAATACTACTGTTGTGGAGACGGCCATAAGCTTCTCGTACGAGTTCCACTGCAGTGGCGGAAGGACCTGACTGTTCTAGGGATCATGAGAGGAGTTTGCTTCTTTTCCGCGGCTACAGCTTGGAGCAACTTTGGCAAAGCGATTTCGAGGACGTACTGCATCTCCTTGTCTGGGGATCTTATCCGACAGTGCCGCAGAGGAATAATCTCAGCCACAAATTGACAGAGGCCATGCTAGCCGTGCCAGATGATGTGCAGAGAACGATCTGGAGCCTTCCGTAAGTAATTCGGATCTGCGTCTGCCATCGCTGATGAAGTGTCTGTCTAGAGGCACCTCGTCGCCGCTGCCGCTCATTGTTGCGGGCCTTTCGGCTTGTCTAGCTAGTCACCCTGACATGATCCCGGCATCGCATGATGCTAACATGTATCGGAATAATCCTGAGGATACCGACCGTGCCATAATCCGAACTGTGGCTGCCTACGCTGTGGTATTTGGCCTTGTGAATAGTCATCGGAAGGGTCTAAAATTTACGCCGCCATCTAGGGGAAGGTCATACTATGAAAATCTTTTTGTGATGGCGGGACTTGTGGACTCGAGGACAGGTCGTCCCAATTGTGTCAAGCTGTCTTGCTTCCGGCGGTTTTCTATCCTCAACTCAGACCACGGAATGGCATTGACAGTCTTCTCTGCTCTGGCCACATCATCATCCTTGACGGATCCTATCTCCTGCTTGATCACGGCCATAGGGTCGGCGTGGGGGCCGCTGCATTTCGGCGCCACAGAATCCGCCAAGAGAACCTTGAGGGATATTGGCGAGGCCGAGAATATACCAGGTTATATTCACAACGTGAAGCAGGGACACGTGAAGATGTTTGGGTATGGCCATCGCTCGTACAAAGGCATCGATCCGCGAGTACCGCCCATCCAATCCATACTGAAGGATCTGGATATGTCTGCAAACAAGCTTTTTAAACTAGCCGAGCGGATTGAGAGCGCTTGTTCGAATGATGCCTACTTCACAGAGCGGGAGCTGTACGTGAACGGTGACTTCTACGGACATTTCATCTTCACGGCCATGTACGGTGCCCGAAGGAAAGCGTTGCTCGATTGGACCCGCTGCTGACACGTGTAGTGGCTTCGACCCGGAGATCATCCCAGCGGCTATGTTGGCCCAGCGGATCATGGGAATCATGGCGCACTGGCGGGAGTACATGCGTAAGCCGTGATGCGACGGTAGGATATCGGGACTTTCTAACAACCTACAGTGACACGCGGCAAGTTGTTGCGGCCATCACACATCTACACAGGGGAGGCAGAGGAACGACTATTGCCGAAATTGTAAGTATGGTTGAATGGTATATACGTCAGTTGTCACACTAGGTCATAGAGCAAATCATGGTTTTCACAAGCATGCAGTATTCGTCTAGATGTAAGATAATCTTGGCTGGGACAACTGAAATCCTCCGATTTCGGGCATAGAGTGGAAGATCATGTCAAACAGTCAGCAAGACCAAGCGACTCTGGTGGCAGCGAACCAGCCTGCCACCGAAGGCACATCCCTGCTGGCTGAACAGCCCGCGAAGAAGCCATACTCGATTTTTACACCTGGCCAGAAACGGCTCATCATCCTAACTGCCGCGCTTGCGTCCAGCTTCTCACCACTTTCCGCTAACATCTACTATCCAGCTTTGAACTCTATTGCTGCAGACTTACATGTCACTAGCTCGCAGATTAACTTGACAATCACAACATACATGGTACGCGTGGAATTTCTCATCAGCAGCTGGCTGCACTGACCGAACAGCTATGTCAAGGTCTCGCCCCGGCCTTTATGGGATCCTTCGCCGACCAAGCCGGCCGTCGACCAGCATATATTCTTTGTTTTGCGGTCTATATTACAGGTAATATCGCGCTCGCCTTGCAGCACAGCTACCCGGCGCTGCTGATCCTTCGCGCCATCCAGAGCTGTGGTAGCAGCGGCACCGTCGCGCTCGCTTCTGCTGTGGCTGCAGACGTGATAACATCCGCTGAGCGCGGTACATATATGGGAATCACGTCTGTAGGGATCGTCCTTGCGCCGTCTGTTGGACCCCTGGTTGGGGGGATCCTAAGTCAGTACCTGGGTTGGCAGGCCATTTTCTGGTTTCTTGCAATAACATCTGGGGTATTCTTTGCCCCCCTCCTCATCTTCTTCCCGGAAACATGTCGCAAGATCGTAGGTAATGGCTCCATTTCACCATACGGCTGGAACCAGTCTGGCCTGGCTTGGTACAGACATTGGCGCAATCCAGCACCCGCGACTACCAATACCCCGGGCCAAAAATCTTCGAAGATTGCCCTTCCTAATCCACTAACCACGTTGCGTCTTCTTTCGCACCTCCCAACCGGGCTCGTCTTACTGTCCAACGGCCTTCTCTTTGCCAGCTACTACGCTGTCACTGCTGGAATCCCATCACAATTCAAGGAGACCTACCATCTGAATGACTTCGCAATCGGATTGGTCTTCGTTCCTGCTGGCGTGGGATCCCTTCTAAGCACAACCTTCAGCGGGCTCCTGCTCGACTGGAATTATCGGCGTCTACGGGAGCAGTTCGGGTCTCCGATTCTCCAAGCGCACCAACACGGAGCATTTCCAATTGAGCGGGCCCGAATCCAAATTTGTCTCCCATTGACGGTGTTACCCCTCAATCCTGACATTACTTGATGACGTTATTGACTGATGAGTACCATATCATAGCTTCTAGCAGCCTTGTCTATTCTAAGCTACTCCGCGCTCATGAGCCTAGCCACGCCGACCCTCTCCCATGCTCTTGTCCTCATCTTCGCCATCAGCTTCTCGATCACAGCAGCCTACAACATCATGAATATTCTGATTGTGGATTTGTACTACAGTACACCCGCCACAGCCATGGCGGCGAATAACCTGGTGCGGTGCTTTCTAGGAGCAGCAGCAACAGGACTAGTGCACCCAGCCATGATACTTTGGGGAACTGGATGGACATATGGGTTGGTGGGAGGAATGGTTGGGGCTGTAGTGTGTCCGTTGTTAGGGTGGGTGTATGTGAAGGGGATGAAATGGAGATGTGCAGATGAGAGATATAGACCGGTAGCAGAATAGTGATAGTGAGAGCCGATTGCAATAATCACCGGCTGACAATAATTCCCGTTCTGTTACACTGAAGTCCACGATAGTTTAAATAATAAAGACTCAGATCTAAGACCACGTTCATGACAGCTCGCACACTATCTAAACCTCTACACCTTCCACTAACAAATTCCTGAAGCACCATCATGAACTACCATCTCCTCATCTCCCTTCTCATCCGTTTAATCACTACCCAAATCATCGACCCCCTTCCACACTATCCCCAAACCCTCCATCTCCACTACCCCAACACCCCATGGATCCAACCCGGCGACACCCTCCAAATACTCGGTATACCCTCTCCCCACCACCTCCCTCTTCCCACCACACACCCCTAACCCAACAATAACAGACACGAAGCCCTCCCAATCCTCAGCACCCAGCACCTCCCACTTCACCAAACCTACACCATCCTCTTCCTCGACCTCGACGTCCTCTACAACCACACCACAGCAACCGTCATCCTGCACTGGTACCAGCCCGACCTAATCCCATACCCCAACAACACCAACATCCTCTTCCCAAACCCCCAAGTCCCAACCAGAAAACCAGCACCCTACATCGCCCCCCAACCCCCTACCAACTCTCACCACAGATACCTCTACCTCCTGTACACTCAACCACCCAACTACACCTTCCCAGAATGTTTCGAGCACATACTCCCCCCTACCGCGGAGGCACGAGCAGGGTTCGACATGAAACTCTTTGCAGATGCAGCGGGGCTGGGGACGCCCGTAGCGGGGAATTGGTTTTACGTTAGAAATGAGGTGGACTTACCTACTGGGAGTGGTAGTGGGAGTAAAGGAGGAGTTGCTACCTCTACAAGTATGAGTACGGCTACAACGACGACGACTTCGATGAGGTGGGTTGAATGCGATTTGAGCAGCAGCAGCAGCAGCAGCAGCAGCATTAGTACTTCTGTTCTCACTACCAGTACTGCTATTGCTGCTACCACTACAACAACTCATCGACCCACCGACTCCCGGAGCGAAACTACGCTAGCAATGAGTAACAACATTATCGAAGAAAGCCAGGTCCAGGCCCAGGCCCGACTCAGCTAGCGCTATAGCCTAAATCTGACCCAACAAGGTGGTATGGTAAAACCTTACTTTCTAAACGAAGAACAAATGAATGAATGAATGAATGAATCAGCACGCACGAACCATCTACCATATTCGTAAAAAGGCACCGCGCCAACGTAACACAACCGAGGGGGATAGACCTACCTTATTGGGAACTCTCCCATCATGGGCAGCAGCAGTAGCAGCAGCAGCACCAGCACCAAAAGCTGAACAGAACTGATGACAAGCATATACTACACTACACTAGGCCACCCTACAATTAACACTTAGACCAATCCAGCCCATACAGACAAAGGCAAGCCACCCGGGGGAAGGGGGAGGTGGAGGGAAGTACGTCTCTCCCCAATCATCATCATGCAGAGGAGGGCAAGAAGTGTGGTAGGACAAACACTTAGTAACTCAGAACTCAAATTCTGAGTTTCTGGGCAGATGAGACGCGTGAAAAACAGTATTCTGCTTTGGGATCAGCCTTAGCGGTAGAAAAAATAGGAGTTAAGTGGGTAGTAGACTAGTAGGTCGTAGTGGCAGAAGGGTCGTGTGGAACGTGAAAAGATTTCTCTCGCCCATGTAACCTCGACTTGATCACCCACCCGTCGTCCAGTTCGAACGGGTTGCTTACTGTGGGGGAACTTATTTGCTGTGTGGTAGGGCGTGTAGGGCGTGGCATCATGGCGTGGCTCGGCGTGGCGTGGCGGTCAACTAGTTCATAGTATCCTCTATGCTGGGATTTGTGGTGTGTTGGGTTTAGTATGCTATGGCTACTACTACTAGTAGTAGTAGTTGTAGTAAGTAGTACTGATTGCTGCATACTATTAATATAGTCCATATAAGTAGTATGTAACCCCCTGGAGGATACCGAGACTACTACTTATCGCTTTGAATACTTTTAGCAGTACGTTAATATACCAGTGTTCTTATTATTCATACTGACTATATATCCATCTATCCAACATGAATGAACACCCCCATCCACTGCCTAAAAGCGTCAAAGTCCGCTCTACCTGCAACGCCTGCCAACAAGCCAAGATCCGTTGCAGCCATGAAAAGCCAGCTTGTCGTCGGTGTCAGAAACATAACATCGACTGCGTCTACAGCATATCGCGACGGTTAGGGAGGCCAGCGAAGAAGAAAGATGTCGACGACGAGAGCGACTATCGTCGCGATCGTGAGTTTCTAGATGGGCCTAGGAAGCAAGAGTCGCGAGCGCGGAACGGTTCCAAGAACAGTAACAGCAATAACAGCAGTAACAATAACAGAAAGAAGATGATGAAGTTAGAAGACGAGCAAGAGACTGTGTTGGATGATACTCTACTGCTACTGGACAAGGCAGGTGGGAGCCAAAGTGTTTTGGACCCTGTTGGTGTGATAGATTCGGTTCCAAGTTTACCGGGCGATTGCTTTTTGGATCAGGCTACTCCCACAGCTTTGTGTAAGTGTCGCTAACTTGTCGGCTATTATACCGCTGTGTGATGTTAATTGAAATAGTCGCGGATAGTGGCTTCGATCTATTTTCCGATAGCTGGGTGCAAGAGTTCATTGCCAACCCGCCGGTCGATCTCGCGCAGGAAGGTTTACTGCTGGATTCGATTGTGAGCAGCGTCAAGCCTGAGAGTACTGGTGGTCGTTCTCCAGTAGATCCGAAGCATAGCTCGACAAGCTTTATTCAAGATACACCGCTTATCGCAGCCACGACCTTGGAGAATATTCAGGATATTATGGACGCCCCATCAGAGGCAAAGTATCTGAAGGAGGACCCCCTGGCTTGGTCGCTGCCATTCTCCACGATGGACAATTTCCCAACCCGACAGATAGCCACCGAAACTACTGCATTTGCTCAAGCGAAGATGACAAAGAGACCATACCTATATGGCCTCCCTGCGGGAGAGATGAAACCTGTGTCAGCCGTTCTAGCGCCGCACGCATATCAATTCCAGTGTCACGAATACACGATCCAGGAATCGTTCAGGCAGATGTCGATCGCCATAAGGATGGGACCGTATATGTCGATTGACCATATTCTTCACTGTCAACGTATGCTGCTGAATGTATCCGATACCATTCTCAAATGTTGCGTCTGCTGCATCACGAAGAGGGATATACTCATGGTCATCGTTGTCAATATCGACAGTCTGATGACGAATCTGGAGGCTATAACGACAGGGGAAGCTGGGAATCCACAAAGACTGCTTTACAACGGGTATCATGAGCATATACTGCCTGATTGCAAGCAGGATATTCCAGGAAATGTGAGCAGACGGTACCGGAGTGGTGGACTGCATTTCAGGAGTCAAATTGATGCTTGTCCATTGGTAGTGGGCAAGTTCTGCGTCCAGTCTGGTGACAAGTTCTTCTGCATCTTGCAGATCTTGTACAGTCAATTATCGGATCTGCTGTCAACGGTCAAAAGAATCACACTTTATACGCAAGAATCGTCCGCTCGCGTATCTCTGACTAAGGATACTGAGAGGCGGTTGGAGGATGTTATGTTGCAGATGAAGAGGATGACTAGGGTGTAGGCGATGGCTCTGCGGTTCATAGTTTAGAGACTTTGTAGTGATCAGTTTTAAGTCGACTATTGGTTGCATTTTCCACGCCGTTTCTAGGCCGTATCCTGCTTCTGAACTCCCGTAGCTCCTATATCAGGAAACAATCAGTATTGCCTTCAGTTTATTGCCAAAGCAGGGGTCTACTTCTCGTATTCAGTTCAAGTCAAATTGCTATACGTCGACCAGCCTACCGGTCACAACGATATCTGTGCAACCCACTGCGGGTCGAATGACAACATGTTCCACGACGAACAGGCTGTCCAGATATTCTGGACCAACAAAGCCAATTCCTTCAAGGTTGACCGGAATTGTGAGGCTGCCATGAATCACACCCACCGAGGTCGTACTTGAATGGAACGACACGTGAAGGCAAGTATGAAGTTAGATTAAGTCATATTCCAAGCCCTCCATCACACAGCATCTGGAGGATGATAAGACTTACCATCAATAGAGAAGCCACATCAGCAATGTCAACGGGGTACCAAATGCCCCAGCACGCAAGCAGAATGGAACCGTCCACTACCAACTGCCCCTGCTCGATTAATGGACTTCAAATAATTACGGAGCTCCGGACTGTCCAGCCTGTTGTTGAACTCGGCACGGTTCTCGATATCGTTCAAAAGGTATATACACATGGCAAGGATGTACTCCAATGCCAAGACTGTCGAAAAAGCCCACACTCATCGTATGTGATGCTACCAGCATTGGCGGAGCAATGTCTCTCCCTATTTGAAGCCGTCTGTATAGCATATAATATTACGAGGGGGAACATGCTATTTGATCCATCAGTGTTGGCGTTCGAGGAGCCATTGCCGCAATTTATCTGTATGAGGAGTAAGACAGTGTTGGGGCAGATAGAGCTGGATGAAAGGGAGTCGGTGATGCTTGTAAGAACACTACTGGGGAGGAACTTAATGAAGATCTTGGAGGTGTTGGAGACCCTGCAAAAGATATTCAGGTCGTTAGGGAAAGAGGCTATTGAAGGGGGACGATGTGCGGGCCCCGCAACGCTACGGGCGTGTGAGTCTTCGGTTGAAGCCACCATGCGGAGGTTCGCAGTGTTCATGAAGCAAGTTGAGGATAACTCCGGTAGGTCGTTTATACTCTAGGCTCGTGGTTGTGGCTAACAGTGATTCGTGTAGGGGCGTGAAGGATGACGACGAGGAGTGAGGGGTGAGGACGAGGCGTACCCTATATGCTATGTGAGATCAAGCAAGTTAATAAATTAGATTGGGTTCCGACGCGTTAGCTCAGTCAATGATTAGACTGGTACTAAGACCAGCAGAATATGATGTAAAACAACACACGAATGTTCAGTCATGAGAAACATTGAGTCGAGAACATAATCGGAGAAGAAAGAACAACACGATGACGAGTTGCGAGGAAAGTCAAGTCGACAACAGAATTGAAAAGGGAAAACAGACGGAAACCAGTCACGAGAAGACCAGTTCAGAGAAGACCACTCCAAAGAATACCAGTCTAAGGAAGGTCAATCAATTCACCACATTCTGTCCAGATGTCATCCCAACGAGCTGTCTGTAATCCTTCCTAGACGTGAACCAAAGACGTGTCGAAAGTAGGTACTCGCATAAAGAGACGAACCGAGAAGAATTGGCGAAGGAGCAGATACGCAAGTTAGCGAGGCATAGTGCGCTGATAGGTGCCTAACCATTCACCCCATCCGATGACTTTGCCAGCCATGGCCTCCTTAATAACTGAAACAGTGGCCTTGTCTGGCTGGGCAATGTCAAGGGGCTCGCTCAGCGCGACGATGGTGAAAATGTAGCGATGATAACCGTGGCCGTAGGGGGGTGAGGCACCGATGTAAGACGACCCAAGAAGGTTAGGAACGTATCTCCAACCAGCGAAGGTGATGCGGCCAGGCATGTTGGGATTCATGTTAACGTCATCATCGTAGGCAACGAAGCAAGTGGGTGGAATCTCGAAGAAAAGACCGTGAACGAAGACCATAGACGGGATGGGGACGTCGGGATCTTCGCAAATCAGTACGAACTCTCTGGCTTCTCCGCAGCGAGGCATAGTCCATCGGAGGTTGGGAAATCTGCCTCCCTTCTCAACGTCAAGGTAGGTGTGATGGTCGAGGAGGCTACATCCGGGCAGCCCGCACTCAGGAGCCTCGAGCTTCATGTTTGGCTCAGGCAAGTGAGCAAAAGCGGCGGACTTGGTGATGAGGTTCTTGTCATGGCCTCTAACGTAGTACAACATTTTGAACAGCAAAAGCTGCAAATAGAGGAAGAGAACCGAGAACATGGTGTCGGTCCTCTGCAGCAGGTGGTATGTACGTGTGGAAAGGTTTGGATTATCAAAGGGAGTGTTCAAGACAAGGAATACTTAGAGAGACGGTAAGTGTTTGGAGGATGAGGGTAGAAGAAGAAGAAGGTGAAAAAGAGGAAAAGAGGAAGAAGGAATCCCGACGTGTTGTTGACAGAGAAGGGCTCAGCGCAGTCGTGGAAAAGCGCCTGAACCGGCCCGTGGCCGGCTGCCCTAGACTAAGTGACATTTCCATAGAAACAGCAGCAGTCTAGTGTTACCTTTGGTCAATTTAATAGCCGTCTGTCAGTCATACTTTAAGCCCAGGAAATAATGCCCCGCGTCTGAAAGAGGCTAGAAAGCCGTGGGAGAATGATTCACTGGATGAACAGGAGAGCCCTGAATGAGGCAATTATGGTGTAAAAATGTGCAGAACGGCGACAGGTTTCACGGTCAGGCATGAGCACAAGCACAAGGATATACCAGCCTGACGTGGAATCTAGTGAGGGCACATGAAGAGATGTGAAGCCGGCAAGCCAAGCCGATATCGATCGATCGGATCAGTTGCTCTGATAAGAACAGCCAAAGTGGATCCCCATGACGTAGCGTGCATTAGTGTTGAGTTGTGCACACTGCTTGGCTGAGTCAGCAGCACAACGCTGGTTGGACTCATCTCCGCAGGTCTCCGAGACCTCCGAATGTGACTTCGATCGTGTTTTCTCCCTTGATGGACCTGCTGTGAAGTTCCTTTGGTCCCCTGCTCATCATTCCCGTTTCCTCTGATGGCTTTTGCATCTCCGCCGGCCTCTCCTCCGGATGAGGATGGTCAGGCCCGCGCGCCGCGCTATCCCGGCGAGGATACAACGCCCACCAGCCGCCAGGAAATCTGGGGATGGTACGCCTATGGTATCGCTGCTGAAGTGTTCGCGGTATGCGGCGTAGGTGTGTAATCCCTTCTTTGAACGCATCCTCGTGTTTGCAATGATAATGACATTGTATAGGCTCATTCCTTCCCCTCACATTGGAGCAATTGGCCCGTGAGCGCGGGTTCCTCCAAAGCAGCCATTTGCCGTGTGTCGGTCCCGACTCACCCTCCGCGCCCAAGGAATCTTCCCCAGCCATGTTTCGCCGCGATGACACCAATGAGCAGTGTGTGGTTGGACTGATGGGGTTGGAGATCAACACGGCTAGTTTCGCCATGTATACTTTCTCTCTGGCGGTTCTGGTGCAGGCGTTGACTCTGATCTCATTCAGCGCACTGGCAGACTATGGTATGACCCACTGCCTTATAATCCCGTAAGACAATGCTGAGAAATCGTACAGAGAACAATCGCAAGACGCTTCTTGTCGCATTTGGATTTATCGGATCAGCAACAAGCATGCTATTCGTTTTCATCGCGCCTCCAGTATTCGTACTGGGTGCGCTTTTAGTCGTCGTTGGAGTCGTCTGTCTCGGCTCATCCTTCGTCGTACTGAATTCCTTCCTACCAGTGCTCGTCGCCAATGACCCCTCTATCCAGAACAGCAATAAGGAATCCGCCGCCGAACTGCATCGGCTCGATCCAGAAGCCGAATACGTACACGCCCGCACATCCTTTGATAGGGACGAACCAAACCATCGCCCCTCAACCGGGCTCGGTCTAGGCGGCGCAACAGGCACTTCCGCCCCAGAATTGCAGTTATCAACCAAGATCTCCTCGAAGGGCGTTGGTCTCGGCTACTGCGCAGCAGTATTTGTCCAAATACTCAGTATCCTGTTGCTCTTCACATTGTCCAAAACCTCGATCTCCAAGGCCTCTGGCACGCTTCCTTTGCGCTTCGTGCTCCTACTCGTTGGTATCTGGTGGTTCAGCTTCACCATGGTGAGCCGGCGCTGGCTGCGCAGCCGTCCCGGACCACCCCTCGAATCTACTTCAACAGGCGCAAGCAGCCACCAACCCCGCTGGCGTATCTGGCTTCACCTCGTTGCCTTCGCGTGGAAGTCATTGTGGAAAACGGTTAAAATAGCTCTCAAACTCCGCGAAGTGATTGTTTTCCTCGTGGCGTGGTTCCTCCTGTCAGACGCAATGGCCACCGTCTCCGGTACAGCAATCCTCTTCGCCCGCACCGAACTCAAAATGAGCACGACCATGGTTGCCCTCCTTTCCATCACCGCAACACTTTCCGGTATGGCAGGAGCGTTCCTGTGGCCTATTGTCTCCCGATACTTCGGTCTCAAGTCCAACCATACCATCATGGTCTGCATTGCGTTGTTCGAACTCATCCCGCTTTATGGTATGCTTGCATACATTCCTCTATTTAAAAACTGGGGCGTGATCGGATTGCAACAGCCATGGGAAATCTATCCCCTTGCCATTGTGCATGGAGTCGTTTCCGGTGGGTTGTCTTCGTATTGTCGGAGTTTTTTCGGGTTGTTGATTCCTCCCGGTATGGAAGCCGCGTTTTATGCACTTTATGCTGCGACAGACAAAGGGAGCTCGTTCATCGGACCTGCAATCGTCGGTGTGCTTATCGATGCAACTGGACAGGTGCGAAGTGGGTTCTTCTTTATTGCGGTGTTGATTGTCTTGCCTATTCCTCTGGTATGGATGGTGGATGCGGAGAAGGGAAGAAAAGAGGGACTCAAGATTTCAGAGGATATGGTGAGGGGTGGAGAGGGAGAGGATGAGGAGGTGGAGGGATTGCTGGCTAGGTAGATAACCTTAGATGGTGAGGATATTCTGTCCCGAAAATGATTTATGGAATGAATGAGGAATGAGAAGAATTCTGAAGGTCACAAATGTTATCGATGGGGATAACGCTTGCATAAGCACGTGATCGTTCTTATCTCTATATTCACTGTTACTATGATGTGCTCATGTGCAAGTCGCGAACATAGTAGTGACGGTTAATGTCACTCATCGTCATCTACAACCACCACCATCCAAACTCCTACTTCCCCATTACTCGCCAGCAGCGGTGTGCAATGAACCCATCTGTCCCTTCCCTGTGCATTAAATCTATTCAACCATTTGATCCTTGCTGTGACGCTCCGACCACTCATCAATGCATGCAGTAATTCATCCCTAACTGCTGCACTACTCCCGATTCTAGAGAGAAAGGAGGACTGCAGTATTCCAGGTATTTGCAGCGAGGGCGAAGTGAACAATATCCTTAGGGATGGATATGGACGGACAAGAAGATACTATAAAAGTTAGCACCCTGTCCCACAAGAGGTGAGAGACACTCACATTTTCATATACACCAACCAACGCCGTCCCCATCTTGGTATCTTTCTCTCTTATCCCATCGTCCTCGACAGATTCCTCACCTTCAGCAACAGACCACCTTGTCCGGCAGCTATTACGCAATGCCGGGGAAGTCATGGGTTGGAAAAGACTTCCTCCAATGTCTTGAGTGACCTTCAGCTCTCGTGGACTAAATAGCTCACTCAAGTCACGGAACTCGTCTCCTTGGATACCAATTGGTGCCTCTGCCACTTCCACACCGTCTCTCATCTGCTGCTTTTGCAAATCTCGCAGTGACTCCATCTGGACACCGTCCATAACCAACCCACTGACATCGATCTGGGCCCCGATGAAGTAGCGCACTCTACCATGGCTGTCGCATAGTGGAGCGCACTGAAGAAGATTCATGAAAGGAGAGCCATCTCGACGGCTACACCGTTCGACTGTCAGCCTATATGCGCATTTTGTGTGCAATTAAACTTACTAATTCAGAAACAACTCCGAATGATGCCTTCCGGCGTTCAATGCCTCCCTGATCCTCCGCACACTATTAGGATTCGTCTTCGGTCCCTGCAAAAACCGACAATTCCGTCCAAGCACATAGTCCATGCCATACTGCGTCGTGCGATGGAATTCTACCACCAAATCAACAAGTGTCAGCAAAAGAAAAAAGGTTCACCAAAAAGGAGAGACTGCGTACCCTCAGAAGCAAAAACAATCGGATTATCACGTCTCGACGGATCTGTAAGACAGAACACCTCCGCCAGTGCCTTCTCCTCCTCCGTTCTCTGGAACCTCTTGGGTAGGGTCCCCCTGACCCTTTCCTCCACCACGCGACTGGTAATTCCTATGCAGCGCGAGGTAATGAACGCAGGGAGTTCCTCATCAGTAAGCATCTTCAAGGCCTCCTGTACCCGCTGTTGCAGTGCAGGATGGGTGATTTCTCCGATTTTCTGTCCTGACATTGAAAACACCGATGATTTCGGCTGAGCATCATCGACAAAGCATCGCACCAAGCAATTCGCGTAATCGATTGCCTTGAGGGCTTTACGCGCGGTCAAGTAGTAAGTCAACCTGTGGAGAGAGCGTGGACGCTCCTCAAGAAGAAATTCGCGAAATTGCGCTAGATAGCGCGGGTTGTGCAGAATGGTAAGCATATGCTCCGATGAGAAAACGAGATCGGCGATCTTTTCGAGAGCATGAAGTGGCGGGGCCTCTTGTGTATCGTGCTGCGGTGCAATAAGATCATAGGACAAGCCAGGGTCACAGACAGGATTGAACTCGTCGGATTCGTCATAGTAAGGGTTCGGCTGGTGAAGAAGAGGAAGCTCATGAATCATATAGTTCCTACGAAGTGTTTTGACAGACGGCCTCGAGACCAGAGCTTTTGTCGTGATATGTGCACGACTAGGGGGACGAGGGAATCCGAGAAGGATTTCGCTGGGTCGTCGTCTGCGCACCTCTCGCGACTCATCTTCGCTGATGGAAGCGGAAGACGTAGATGTTCGCCATGGCGAAGGCGCATCTGAAGGGGGGAAATTGTCCAATGCGACAGTGGAGGGGTAGGAACGCAGCGAAGTTGCGTCGAAGTGGTCCATGGTTGGTGCTGAGACTGAAGTTTTGTCCGTGCCAGGTCTTTAAGTGGCACGGCATTTCACCCATCCTTTATACAGCATTTTCGTATTCACAGACGCGACATATCCAATGATCGCTACTACTTACCAGTTTATCCCCTGGAGACAGGTAGGAAAAGGCAACCTCTCATCGCGATGTGAAGCGATCGAAAAGAACCGCCGCGGCGTAGATGCGAACTCCGATCGATCGATTGCCGCAGGTGTCAACCACGAGATCGAGAACTTGTTCATGCGTGATGCAATCCCGCATGCGATGTGTCTGCTCCACTATTGATCTACATCGGCAGAAGTATTTTGGGAAAGAAAAGCAAACTCTAATTGAGGAACTGGTGGGTGTCTGTTCAACATATTGATTGACCCGTCTGCGGGAGGTAGCTCTCCTGTCCACTAATAGAGCAGGGAACTCAAATCCCATTCAACAATCAACCCGTATTCTGCAGGCACAGACCTGGATTCCTCCCAACTAATACCTAACCTTAATATAGGTAACCAACTCACCCTCCTCCAATGCCGCACCAGTGATAGGATCCTCACTATCGGGCCCCAACAGCCGGAACAACCAGTACGGCAGCTTCGATCCAGAATCAGAGTACTCCTTGATAGCCCAAGTAGTGACATTGTTGGCGCCAATAAACAGGCCGTCCTGCTGCGTGCCGTTCACATAGTGGTGGTAAAAGTCGACCGGGACGGACGCCTGCTCGTCCAATCCCCACATCAAGAGCGCGGTATAGGGGATAGAACTGATGTTCAATGGCTGGAAGCTGTATCCGCTCACGCCGGTCTCAACGAGACCATTGAGGATAGAAGGAGAGGAGTCGTCACAGATGATGGGGTTCTTGGCCTCGTCGTTTTCGGAGCCGATGGCGATCTAAACAAGCATCCATCAATACTAACGAACTAGTTGGTGATCAAAAGGGGCAATGGCCATACATATCCCATATGGATACCAGTCTCTCCAGCAGTGCGGAAGACAACGCTGGTATCACCGAAACCCTCAATAGGGCAAGCCTGATCCGGCGCGGTAACGTTCTTGCAGTCGCTGGCAGCAAGCATGAAGTAGCCGGTGGTTCCGGTCTCCGGGTAGTACGAATTGATGTTGGTGCATCCTCCGGCGGCGCGAACGGGTTGCACGGCTGAAGCGTAGGCAGAGCCTGCGAGCATGGAAACTCCGGTCAGGATAGAGGGAATCATGATGGTGATGCGGGTACTTGTGTTCTGGAGATCTGAGCCTGGAATACAAGTAAACCTCGACGGGTCAGACAGCCATATTTATACTATGCTCGTGGCACAACATCGTCACGATCGGTACTAGTATTGGCCGAAATCGCTCTCAAAAATGCGACTCTAGAACAAATTCCCTGATGCTGTTAGCATCAATCCATCATAATCCAGTTGTGCCTGAATAGGCAAAAGACCCATACAGAAGCTCGTGGGGGCCGTTCAGGGACCAGCGCGTATTGGTGGTCCGTTTAATTTGGATGGGGCGGATACGACGGCTCGATCCGTCAATTTTGGCTGGCAGAGGAAATTTCTCCTTTACCGACGCCCCATGACTTAGTAGAAGGGTTTGAGGCGATTGCCACTATGGAAGGAAGCAACTAATTGCTTTGGACCCTGACCGAGGTCTTTGGTGATGGATGCTGCCTGCAGGGGTCGCGGTGATGCCTGCTTGAACGTGCTTAGTGCATAAATAGTCTTGTATCTAACTGGACGGTCAGTGAAACATGTCCAGTAGGATTCTCCGTCAACCATGACTGTGAGGATGCTTGGCTCGGCAGTGGAATTGTCCTCATGTCTCGTGGGGCGCATGAGGCTGAAGTTGTCTCTGCTAAACGTACATCCATCCGGTCGGAGATTCGCCAATGTCCGATAGAGCGACCGTAGGCAATGCAACCTGGAATTAGGAAGTCATTAGCGATGAGGGAATTAGGCATCTATGAACAGTTAATATTTCAGGCTACACCTGCAATCGATCAGGGATACCGAATGCAAAATTTTTGGGATTTTTTGTTGTGTCTATCCGTCGTATTTCCTACTAGTTAAGTCGCTCGGTGCCTCATCGTTTAGGCTGCACATTGCACATAACTGTGTCCGGGTGTGCATAAGCAAGCTTTCCTTAATATTGGCACTGTTGTTATGTTTTTTTATTTGTTTCCTCCAGTCCAGCTGAAGTTTGAAGAGAGACGATACCTGTTAGACATCACCCATGGACAAAATGTGTTGCGCCAGAATTCTAAGGATTCTTTTTCCCGCGAGCAGGATAGATTGTCAGATCAAAGCGGCCGAATCTTATCCTCATACGTACAATTATACATTGACATCCTGATATATAAAGTATTATGCCTCTTGCTCTGATTTAGTGGAAGATTGAAGTACATAGTTAAGGGTAACTACAGAGCCAACCTCCACCCCCAGGGGAACACATATAGCGGATGTATATTGACATGTGATATATAGTACACACAATGCCTTTGTCTCAACCGTCTATTCTATTTTTCTCAACACAATAAATAGACAACATAGGTATCCGAGTGGATTAATTTGATAGTATAATGAGGCCCTCAGGGTACTTTGCATGCATAATCATATCATAAGCTTAACCTCTTAACACGTAAAAGGTTTACTTATCTCCCCCGACCGAAACTCGTTAACCTATAATAACCCACGTTAGCCTATGATCTTCCTAGTATCCATATAGAAACCACTTACCAGCTCCGCAATACTCGAGTAAGTACCGCAACCGAAAACAATCATACCGACAATAAAGACCACCAAATTACATATCGCAGGCCGCAAATTGTGTTTCTCATACCACGCTCCATCTCTCAAAAGCACAAACCACATCACGGGAGGAATGTAAAACGAGAGACCGGACACAAAAAGCGCCGAGATGATGGAAAGTAGCTCCGAGAAAATCGGTATAGCCTCGGCAATGACCCATGCGAGAACAGTAACAAGGGAGATGAGACACAACCAAGTCATCCAGCCCTTCCGAGTATTGATAAAGCGAGCGGCCGAGTCGTGGTAGAACTTGCCGTGAATGTATCGGCAGACGACTGTCACGTTGATAGAGCCGGAGATGAAGATGACTGGAAGAGCTATGCCGAAAACCACTCTTGAAATGACTGGTCCAGCCGATAGTAGGGCAGGAGATTGTACCCCCTGGCCTACAAAAGCGTAGATAAGCGACCCTGTTAATGTGTAGATGACAATCTGGATGCCTCCTAGCCACCAGAGGGTTTTGATGTAATCCTCCGGAGTATGCATGTCTTCCATGAAGGAAGGCAGGCAGCCAGCGAAAGAATAAGCAAAGACAATGTTGTTCGTGGCGACAATTGCTTGCGAGAAAGTGATTCCAGCTATCGGCCACGCAGACCACGGGATATGATCAGCGGAGAAGGTACCAGTGGAACTGTGACTTTGAATGCCCGTTGCAATCACCGTGACTCCGATGGCCAAGATAATTGAAGCGAAATCGATATAACCGAGGATTGCAATCTCGGCAAAGGATGGAGGAATGGCGAGGATCATCAAAATAGCAGCGGAGACAATACTGAAGACCACCGAACACACGCTGCTTTCAGTGATGGTCTGGAACGCAATTGCGCCGGTCAAGCAGTGAGACCCAATGACAAAGACCAATAGGGCGACAAAGCTGCCGACGAAGATTTTGCCTCCCACATTCCCCAGGAGAAGATGACCGACATCCGCGTAGTGCCCAACCTCGGGGAACTTTAACTTTACTTGTCCGATGTTATAGCCTGCATACATCGCTACCAGTCCAATACCTATTGTGAGAATGACACCGGCAACCATCCCCAACGTAGCGAAGGCAGAAGGCAAGCCCAAGCTCCCGAGGGCAATAGCCTCCACTATGGAAATAACCGTGAGGCGCTTCCATCCTAGCCGGCGAAACCTGGCATTGCCCTGTAAAATGTATTGGGTCTCGGTATCGGACAGATCCGGAGTCTTCGGAAGGCCTTCGGTGGCCATGAAGACGCGAGTAATCGATTGGCGATGGGGGTAATGTATGAACTGAGTATGAAGTAAGTAGGGCCCCTCTGAGTTCCTGAGATGTTCAAAAACGTTCAAGAAAAGGACCGGGGGGAGGGGGGTAGAGATAATCAGATGATCAGATAAGATGGAAGGAACTGATTGCTTCCGAGGGAATTTCCCGGCCGCGCAACCCCACCCTCACTGCAAAACCTTTCCAACACTAAGACATCACTAATCCGCTTCGGAGGACTAGCCGCTTTACCCCTCACAGATTCTCCAGTTAGAACTTTGAATTTTATCTTGCATATGATACAATTGACTCGTCAATCCCCAGAATTCCTGAAAGATTTCATTCTAAAAGCACGAGCATAAGATGGTTGCATAGAAAGTCCCATCCTCCATGAGGTGAAAGAATAGAAAATATATTATTCGAGGCGCATGATGCATTCATTTATGGCGGGAATACGATGATAGTAGTAGCTAAGGGCGGGTCGCCGATATTAAACAGCCCCAGTCGGGCCAATCGAGAACCTATGCAGGATGACAGGGTATCCTGCCAAGTCGTTAACCAGTGTCAACCCACCCTCCGATATTATAGGTGATTATTCAATATATGCTTCACAAGAAGATTCGGCATAATCTTAACAGATTTTTGCTCTAATCAAATTGTCAATGTCATTATCCGTCGTTGGAACAGACCTGCACTTTCCTGGTAGTAATGTAGTGGTCTTGCATCGAATTTGCATGTCCTGATGTTCTGTTAACCAAGGTTGCATGAGATTGCCATGCGTTCGATGTAAAATCAATTTTATCTTCGAGAAACCAACCAGAAGAATGACACACACACACACACACACACACACACACAATTACTTTGTTATGAAAGACCAAATGTACACAACTCCATATTACTAGCTCAGAACTGGTTGAATCACAGACAACAGTAGTCTACATGACTAATTAGAGGTGATGTCGCATGTAACCTGCACTTCTCCTCTCCGCTAATATCTCCTATCTTTTAGTGCTACCTCCCCTACAGTCCCCGCAAGAAATAAAAACCAAAAGTAAAATTCAGAATATCAAGAGAGGTCTGAGCTGGCGGTATGAGGTCCCCTGATATCGAGCCGAGTCAAGACGTCATCAAAGTGCCACAGGAAACGATTCAATGAATGGCGCAAATGCCTCCTCTGTGAGTTGCCGTCTCCAGTCGCCCGGTCTTTCATTCTCCGCGGAGGTCACTACTCCACGACGAGGGGAATATTCTTGGAAGCCTGGACTAGCCCAGCGTCGAGGAGCTGGTACCATAACCTCGAATGCTTGATGACAAGTCTCTTCCTTTCGCTCCTGGTCCCTAGATGATTGCGATGTTGGTCGGGGGTCACCATCCTCTCGCTGCCGGTGCCGGGAATAAGGAGCAAAAGCAACAGAACGCCGGAGCCGCTCGCGGGATAGCCGCAATGCTGCTAGTCCTTGTGCAATGTATTCCTCGTTATGCTCGTGCCTCAAATTGGGGTTGTATTGGAACCCGAAGATTGGAGATTGACTGTGCTCCGGATCCGACGCGCTACCGATGTATACGTACGCGTAGTCGGTTTTATTTCTATGCAAGCGATCTTCCCGCGGGAGGTCTGCGTGGGTTCGATGCGGCCACCGGCGGGGGAGGGTGTGGATCAGGTTGCGGACGTAGAGCGGGAAAGTATTGGGAGCAAAGCGGAAGAAGAGCTGGCCACTGTGGTAGGAGTCATGGGATGTCCACTCCTCATCGGTGGACGTGTCCTGTTGGACCCGGACCCTGAGTCTGTGTCGCGCACTGCGGAAGCAGATATGTTGTGCTGCTTGGTGGGGTGGCAATGACGACTGCAGGAGGGATGGCAGCTGTTTGTTCTTGTTTGTAGTCTCATTCATTAAATCGGGCAATGAGCCGTCCGCTCATTCGACGAAGACGACAGGGTCTCTTGTGGCTGGCCACGCAGGGTCAAACACGAAAGTGGAGAGCCTCATGCTCCGTAGACGTTTCAGGCGACAAAGCGCGAGGAGGCCTTCATCCCAAAAGTGTCTCGTACCGCCTGTACAGGGAAATGGAGATAAATCCAAATAGAGATGGCAGTGAGATTGGGAAAACTGAGGCTGATTAACGAGAAAGTCTCATTCTATTCAGCGAGGTGTGTTTCCATGCCTTGCTGCGGTAGGCACGTACCTTAAGATATTGTATTGATTGAACTTGCCAGCGACGTAAGCAAAACGAAAAATTGGAGAAAGTTCCAATTTGCTGGGTGAAAAAAATAGTGCGCATAAAGGGTATATGTCGGGGTTCATAGTAGATCTGACGGCAGTGCCGCTATTGCAAAACTTGAAAGGCTGAAGACGGATGTCGGAAGGATATCCGCCCGAGGCACATGGGAGCCAGAGTCTGTGTGTGCTCTGTGGAGTTCGGAGATTGGTCGTAAGGGTCGTAGATTTGAAGAGACATGCGCATTAGTACCATCGAGACATGAATTTACAGGTCAGCTCCTCGGGAATAAAACCAGGCTTTAGCCTGGTCAATGCCTAGTAGCGTACTGAGGAGCATCCGGCCAAAAACGTCCACATCAGACGGTCGCGCACATTCAAGCACATGGCCAAAATCTGCATTGCAGATCACAAAATGCTGATGCTCGTTCCATGCAACGGCAAAGTCGAATGAAGTCTGCGCATTCCACAGGGGTGCGGATAGGTACCATGAGTGGTTGAGACCGAGACGGCCGTCGCAGCTAAGGTTGTTCTCGCCCGTCACGAAACGGTATACTTGCACCAGATAAAACGTGAAAAGGGCGGTGCGACGCGCTGATTCCTGGTATACCCATTCTTTCCAGGACTGCATGACGGCATCCATGGGCGCGGTAAGAGCAGTATCAGGCTCTGCGGCTGGGAAGTATATATGATTCAGAAGGTTGAAAGCCGATGTTTCCAGCATGGGAATAAAAGGCTCGGCGGACAGTCGGGCATGGATATCCCCGTCGAACATGCACATTATCTGATACAGTATCAGTGATTGAGTGTGTGCAAGTGCTTCGAGAGGCGTGCTCGGTGGCGGAGAAGCACGTAAATCGTCAATGCGGGTTATGAAGGAAGAGAGGATGACAGGAGCATTGATATCATTTCGAGCCATGTAGAGGGCACAGCAGGCGAGGGCGTCTGCAATCTTTAGTACAAAGCTGAGATAGAAAGCAATAAACGTACCTTGCATTGACCTGGGCATGCCGTCCTTGTACAATTGGCGATGACACCAGGGCGTCTGGCTTTCGAGGACCATCATTTTGGGTGCTTGTTTCAGCACATCCATGCCGAACTGTAGGCGTTCCGTAATTATTGTCGATATGGGCAGCGAAGACCTTGACTTGATCACAGTGGTACTTGGATTGTCATGTGTTAGCGACATCATAGGAGGTTGCAGAGGCGGCAATTGGGCCAGTAGATTGGCAACTTCGGTTTCGGGGCTCGGAAGCTCGAGGGCACACGATAATTGCACTACATCTGGGAAGTGCGTGTTGATATCGGTCACACACTGGGTTTCGGCAAAGGCTGGATACAGAGGGTCTTCCAGAAGGTTTACTGCAAGCGATACTGCCTCCATGTCCATGCTTGGTGGTTGTCTACCAGGATAGACACAGATCTGATTGCGGCGGGCACATCGGAAGCAAGCTGGCCAGGCAAGATCACAGCGTCGCTTGGCTATCTTGCAGGCCTCACAGGATTTCCGCCGCGGTGGGGCATTGGTACGCTCTGCTGCTGAGTTCATGGGTCCCAATTGGTTGAAGAATTGCAAGGCTGGAATAATTCTGGAGACCTGTGTGGACAGTGAAAAGCCCAACGTAAGCTGGCTGCGGAGGAAACAATCAGTGGGGCGGCGGAGTTCCGCCCGCCACTTTAGCTCAACCAATCATCCTTGGCCTAGGAAGTGGAACGCCGCGGTGGACTTTGTATGTACTGACTCTCCCTGCACAATATTTCAATGCTCGCCTATATAAATATCTAGAATGTCTCCTACATCTTAAAGTACTCATCGGCATCATCCAAATTACTCAGTCCATTATCATACCGTCTTTGCTGCCCACCTCTCCAGTCACTCTCAACCCAAACTTCATCACCCAAACTACCACTCAACATGTCCGTCTTCGTCTGTGGCGCAACCGGCACCCAAGGCGGTGCCATAGCAAAGTACCTCCATGAAAAGGGCATCAAAGTACACACCATCACTCGCACCCCGCTCTCCACAAAGTCACAGCACCTGCGCGCCCTGGGTGCTGATGTGATTGCGGGTGACTACGACAACGAAGCCTCCCTCCGAAGCAGTCTCGCCAATTGCACTGGTCTCTTCCTAAACATGGTCCCCGACTTCCAAAACCCCGACATCGAAGTTATTCGCGGCCGGCGACTTCTCACTCTCGCCAAAGAAGCTGGTGTCAAGCATGTTGTCTACAGCAGCGCCTTCGCCGTCAACGAACCCCACAAGATCCGTACCTTCACGCCCACTGGTTTCGTTGGGAAGCTGCTGCTCCCTAAACAGGCGCTGGAAAACGAAGTTCGAACAATGGGTTTTGAGAGATGGACTATTATGCGTCCTGGAAGCTTTATGACAAATTTCCTAGCCCCGATGGTGTATATCTATTCTGGATTAGTGGATAAGGGATGTTGGGTTACTGCGTGGACGAAGGAGACCAAGATCCCGCTGGTGGATCCAATGGATATTGGAAGAGTTGGAGCAGTGGCATTGACTGACAAGAAGTTCCATGGAAAGGAGATTGAAATTGCGGGGGAGTTGTTGACTGTTGAGGAGATGGTGAAGGAGCTCGTGAAGGCCACAGGGCGGGATCTTAAGGCAGCTTATTTGACTGAGGAGGAAATTAAAGCTCAGGCTGCTGTTAACCCACTCGTTGAGGCGCAGTTGGCGTTGCGAGACATGGCACAGTTTGCAGATTTGGAGAAGACAAAGGAGTGGGGTCTCGACCTGGGGACATTCGAGCGGTTTCTGAAGAGAGAGAATGAGAAGGTTATGAAGACGTTTTCTATTTAGATATTGCCTTGGCTTTATGTACCTAACATATACTTCTCGACTTGGTTGCAACGTGATAATATCTTTCTTATCATCTTTAAACTTTCCATTGATTGTAAAGGCTCTGGTGATTGAGCTGTAAGTCTGTAGCCAATTTCCACGGTTACCACATGATCAGTGTGAGAAATATGTTCGCGAGTCTCTCGTCTTTGTACAATATAGTATTATGGACTGAAGTTCACAGTAATGCACCATTTCCAAACAGTCAGACACATAGTTTCATTTCTGACCTGTTCAAAGCTTCCCATGTACAGCACGGGACAGACTATCTCCCAAAAATATCATTTTGTCCTTCCGTGACTCAACCTCCCACTGGGATGGTGACTGTATACCAGTGTCCACAAATGACTGCACATATCTTGTTGCCACAATCACAGCCACTTCATTCTCATCAATGCAAGCATCATACATCAGTAAACAAGAGCAAACAACAGCCTGTATATGACCAATTATTTCCCTGCCACGCCATAGCAGCTCCGCCTTGTCAGCCCGATTTGCAATTTGGACAAGACTCCCTAGCCTCTTCTTGACGAATGCACACTCGTCCGGAAACATTCGTTGACAGTGTTGCAGTATGTTGTGCACCCACTGCCCGAAGACGTTCTCGATGACTTTACCATCACCGAGCCGTCGGTCCATAATGACTCTCGCCACATCCTCAGCCATCACACTAACCGTACCCTCCCAGATCGGATTAACCAGCGTGTCTCGGAAGATTCTGGCTACGTTGAGAATCCCACCATCCTCGTTGTTTTCGCAGTAGCCGACCCCGCCTAGTCCTTCCATGCATTCTCGAAGTCCCTGAACAGAACCCACGCTGGTCAGGGCCTTTAAAGCCGGCGTGATGAGCCGAAGCAGAGTTGCAGCTTGCTTCTTATCACGCGGGATTATGACAGCAGCTTTGGTATTACGAACCATTAGGTTCCAATCCTGCTCAACGGTTCCCTGCAGGGCAATGCCGAAGAAGACCCAGTGCATGGCCGCCGCGTATTTCACCGTCTCAGCCGCCATCCAGCGCACGTGCTGCGGAACGTCCTCGAGAAGTGAGCCTTGAACGTTGCGAACCCGCGTATATGCCCGGCAAATGGCCAGTCCGCGGCCCCATCCTGCCGTCGAACCGGCTGCTGTATAGAGGCGGGTAATATTGAGGATGGTCGCAACCTCTTTCACACCTCTGCCTTCTTCCCCGATCAGCCAGCCCCGCACACCCTTGAGCTCCAACTCCGCTGTGGGCAGTTGCTTGGTGCCAACTTTGTTCTTCAGCCGTTGCATCCGGATGCTATTCAACTCAATTCCGCTCGAAGATGAGGCCGACCGGCCAGCACGCCGCCGCACTGGTGCATAGAACAAACTGAGTCCTTTAGTAGTCTGCGCCAGCATGACCGTCATTTCCGAGTCGGTCGCACTGCTAAACCACTTGAACCCATCAATACGCCATGGTCCGAGCGGCATGCCGTGCGCATCATGATGGGAGGCTTCTTGAAGCAATTCCTCGCGGCTCAGTCGACGTGCGATCGTCTCGGTTCCTCGCACGTCGCTGCCACCCTTTCGTTCCGTCATCCACTGTCCACTTGTCCACGCGACATTGGGATCTCGCGAGATGAGGCGGCGGTATGCCTCACGAAATACTTCGCTACGACCAGGCTGGTCCCCGTCCGGTTCGCCGAGATGAGCTGCAAGCAGCTTTGCTGCCCCGTCCGTCATAGACGCAGGACACCCTGTCATAGCAGCGCTACCAGACCAAACATGGTTCAGGGCAAATTGATGCACGCGGCGGTTCCAGGTTGTGTTGTCCGTCTCATATGCGACGCTCACCAGGCCTTCTTCTTGACCAATTTCCTTGAGAGCCTTCCACCCAGTTGATGTCCATAGCGGATCAACTCGATTTTCCTCGCCAAATGTGGTGAGCGGACGGAGAGCCGGCGGGTTAGTCTCTGCATCAACACTGTGCTGAAGTACACTAGGCTTAAGGGCACGGCGAGAGAGGTTGTGGATGGAGTGCCCGACGTTGCCGCAGTTGTGGGGAAGGTATAGCTCCAGGATCCGGCCTAAGACTACATCGTCGGATGAAGAGTGGTTTCCTCGGGCGCTTGCAGTAGTGAAGCTATAGCACGGGGGAATAGTGGGGAGGGGTTGAAAGAACCCTTCTGTGGATGATGAGGGCTTGCTGGGAGGGCGTGCTGCCATGTTGTTGTGTCTCGATTTTTGATTGTAGGAAAGGCAAACAGCCTGGTAGAAGACAAGAGTTGATAAGAGGGATGTCTCCTCGGTATGCATGTCAGCAGGTCCCCACATCACTCGGCTCCTGAATTGCAGAGACCGAGGTATCTACGGATACGCAGGTTGGCAGCAGCCATTGGTCGAAAACAAGTTCGATTATGATATCTTCACAGCTGAGTTTATCGGAACCTGCGAATGCAGGGTGAAACAAGATATGACAATATATTCAATGATGAAGACAGCAAGGAACCGAGGACAAATCTAGAGCTACATAGGGATGAAGACTGAAGGGGATTGGACTATGCAATCACGCTCTGTGCCAAAGAATTGAGAGACTGGAATGGACGGCGATCGGGTGGCACATGCATCACGTGGTATTTACCCCGCATAGTGTAGTCCACGTGATTTACCTAGAACCTTGCGAGATGCTACAGGAGACTTTTGGACTGGTACTATGGAAGATTTCTCGAACGGTTTGGTGATATAACCCGGAATTTGGGTCATACAAACTGCCGACTTTGTCGCAGCCTTAGGCATACATACAGAGGTAAGTACCTCAGGCATATTTGATGCCTTAGGCCACTGATCTAGGATCGCTTTCCATGATTACTAGAAGAGTATGCCCGTACCGATCATAGCTATCATTAGGAGGATTGACTATAGGTAGTCGCACTATCTGGCTAGTATTTTGCAATATTCTCTTTCTAGTGTCTCGCCCTAGACTCTTGCGCCATCCCACTCAGCTTTGTACATCACGAGTAAACTAATCGTCCCCTTACATTCTTCTATATTCATGAAGAACTTCTTGCTTTGGTGTTAGTTTCCCATTTATTAGCTATTCGTGGGTTGACTGAGTCAGAGAGTCGGAAGTTCTCAGACGTAATGATGTTGTAGGGCTGAACCAGCCGTCTTGTATAGAGTCACGGCATAATTGTAGCGTCACGGTATTTCTTAGGAACATCCCTAGATACTCCTTTCCTATAAGTCCCGTCTTTTCACTGCCTCACACCGACTATTTTCATTCTATCAACATCCTTAATTCCCATAGCAACTATGTCCCCCACTTCCATCAAAACCCGCTTCCTCATCCTCTCCGACACCCACGGCGCAGAGCTACCCGAATCATGCTTCGAGCACTCGGTAGACGTCGTGATACACTGCGGTGACCTCACAAACTCCTCCTACATAACCGAATTCCAAACAACCATCAAACAGCTCCAGCGTCTCAAAGCGCCACTTAAGCTTGTTATCGCCGGAAACCACGACTTCACCCTAGACACGCCAACCCTCGAACAAAAGATCCGCGAAGCAGGTCTCGAAAACGACCCCTCCGTCAAGAAAGTATATGGAGACTATGAAGAAGTCCGAACCCTCTTCAAACACGAACAAGGCAACGGCATTATCTTCCTAGATGAGGGTACACACTCAATAACACTACCAAACGGAGCATTACTCAACATCTATGCCAGTCCATACACCCCCTCC